TTAAAACCCGAAAAATAAATTTATGTACCGATCCATGCTGACGAGTGGTAAATTTGGTGTGTGCCCATTATCTCGACACGATTGATAAACTTTAGAAAAAAAAAAAGAAGAAGAAAACAATATCTCATCCTTAGCGAAATCCTGAATCCTAGAGGATTTTATTCTTACATTTAGTTTTAAGAGAGAGGATTTTTCTAAAACCAAAAGTAAAATATTCTAAGCGCAATATTCTTAAAATTAGAAGAATTTTGTTATTTATCTGCACTACAAGTCTTGTTCGTAATAACAATTTTTTTCTGGTAAGAGCATTCTATGCTTCTAGTAAACATATTCCATTTTATTCAAACGAACAAAAGTTGAAATAATATGTAGTAGATTTCCGGTGAAAATAGTCCCTTCATTAGAAGGCGAGAGTTTTTATTTAGAATATGGGATTATATAACACGTTGTGATTAGAATTTTTTCTTTTTTACATGATTTTTAATGAGACGAAAGGCGACGTAAATATTGTTATTACTTTATTTAAACACTAATACAAATTAACACCATAGATGTTATATTATACATGAAAATTGCGTAGTGCTCAAAGGGCGAGGCGACAGCTTATTTTAAGAGAGAGAAAGAGAGAGAGAGAGAGCTTTTAAGACTTTAAATGTTTAAATATAATTTCTCGATTGATTTCCACATGCAGAATGGAATGGAGAGCTTCGAGATCAATGTGTATACTCGGGGTGAGGGAGGAAAGCATTTTCGATTTTTGAGAGAAAATATTTTGTTGCTTCTGGCAGTAAACTCGGTGGAAGGCTTTCCGCCTTGGAGCGGAAAGGCTTTTATCCTCGCAATCGAAGCTTCCCTCGATGACGCTTCCGAGTGTTTTTCCTCTTAGGTATTCCGCGCCGAGTCAAACTTACAACGCCTTCCTCGTCGACGGGATCACGCTTGTTCCCCGAGAAATACTCTCGATAATTCCGCAGGCGTGATTGCGTTTATAAACTTTCGCGCGATCCATAAATAGCAATCTGCGACTTAGGCCGGCTAAAATATCGCGAGTTCCTGTACGTGATCGTTGTGAATGCACCTTAGATTACGTCGCGCTCGTGCACGTGTACATGCGCGCACGCACACACACACACACACACACACATGTGCGCGCGTGCGCGCCCATACATTCACGGACGTGCACGACGCGCGAGGCTGACGTGCGGAAGAAGACGAGAAAAGTTGCGCTTTTGGCAAGCCACGTCTCAGCCTCTGAACAGCTCGTGCAGGCATTACGTTATAAAGAGACCCGCATGTCTGACAACACTCGCGGACGTGAAATCCCGAATGTTATATTTACAAAGGAGGAAAGAGAAGGAAAACAACGGGAGATCGTCGGGAAGAAAGTAAATCTCTCTCCTTAAAACGATTTCGCGTTTCGCGACCGAGATTCACTTCCGCGCAGTTTCGCGAACGCGTCCTCTCGTCGTCGTCGAGACGACGCTGTCACACGTATTATGCGTGCGTGCGTGCGTGCGTGCGTGCGTGCGTGCGTGTGCCACGTATAACGCGTGGCGAAACGCGCGACGTGACGTGGCCGAGTGTGAAAACTGTCGGAGCGCGTCGCCTATTAAACCGTCGAGAGAAATTGACGTCGCTTCGAACGAGAACGGGTCGCAGGTGACACTTTCCGTCGAGCGCACGCCGTACTTGGCAAAAGCTTCATAGCACGCATGATCTTGCGTACGCGTCGGGGTTTACCGCACCTCGCACATGTAGCCAGGTGCGGCGGCATGTACAGGGTGTCTCAGACAGTTCAGAGCAGATTGTTCATCAAAATGTGAAAATTTCATGTTTCACAAGCAATTCTCCGTGTACAATCATACATTTTCTTGTTACTATATAAACCGTTGAGAGCCCGCGAAGAAAATACTTTGGCGTAGAGAACATCGATGCCTGGATACATTTTCAGCGCGTGCAATTTTCACTGCAATGACACCTTTATAGGACTTTTTGATTCGTCATGTGCACGCTAGAATCTGTACATCTGACGTGTAAAGCTCTTCAATTTCAGGTGAGGTCAGTATGTGGCCGTTCGAAGTTGCTGGCGTCGAGCAAAGAGAAGACGTCCTCGGATGCAGCTGCAGTCGCGAAATTGACTACGTTCCCAGGCAGCAAGGCACACGCAGCTGCGTCATTTTACGATGGCAACCTCGCGCACCAAGCCGACGACATCGCGCCCACCAAAGGCAAAAGCCAGGACCAAAAGTTATACGTGCATCTGGGCAACTTTCTAGCAAGCATGGTCAGATCCCGCATCTTCTACGGCACGTTGGCGGACTCGATATGCGAGGACTACCCCGAGAAACACTGCTGGAACGGCGAACGCGTCGGAGAGTAAGTACACATTTGTTCAGTATTTTCCTTCCCTCTCTTTCTCTCTCTCTCTTCCTTCCTTCTCCCTTTTCTCTTTTTTCCCCCCTCTCTCTCTCTCTCTCTTCCTTCCCTCTCCCCTTTCTCCTTTCCTCCCTCTTCTTCTTCCCCTCTCTCTCTCTCTTTTCGTTGTTCTGTTTTGGCTATACTGATTCCTCAACGTTTATTTTGCGCGGTTCGTTATTCGTGCATAAGCGTAATGTATGTAATGATATGAGGTACGTAATGAACGCGTACGTAACTTTATTGAGCGCGGCGATGAATACACCAAGTAGAAAAAGCATGAGCGTGGAACGGCCCGCTTAGTCTCTACGGTGCGTTTCTTATAGCATTAGTAGCCAGTAATGGCTAGCATCTGTGTATGTAAATTACAATGATACTGTGTGGCAAGTTATGTGATATTTGAATATGATTGACGAATTAAAGGACCTCTTTCTCCCGGTAAAATGAGATCCGAATGAAAGCTCCAGACTGAGTCTTTGTAGGATCTTACATAATCATTCGCGGAGGCGCTAAACAATCGGCGGCGACCCGCGGCATTTCTCTCTTTATTTCTCCCTTACGTGTATTCATACATTGACGGATACAAATTCATTATTGTGCAACATCATGTTTTAGACACGACTAGCGACAACGCAACGACAGAGAAAAATTATACAACATCGAGAGGAGCAAAGAGAGAGAGAGAGAGAGAGAGACAGACAGACAGACAGACAGAGAGAGAGAGAGAGAGAGAGAGAGGAGTGGTCGAATAAACGCGGCGGAATAAATGGGACTACGACGAGGGTTAATAACAAACGTGCGCGATTCGCGCTAATCGAAATTGCCGTCGCTCAAAATCCGAGCCGCGCGGAATGCGCTTTCGTGGGAACGGATCGTGACGCGAAAGCGGACGATGAGGAGTGCGGCAGAGAGGCAGAGAGAGAGAGAGAGAGAGAGAGAGAGAGAGAGAGAGAGAGAGAGAGAGAGAGAGAATGGAACGCGAAGGTAGCTCTCTCGCACCCTTATTAATCAACGGCCGGGTAGAGGCTTCTCTCTGAAGGTGCCCTCACACCGAACGCGGTCTCCCTTCTCGTTCGCGGGGTTTTCGTGACCCGAGGTCACCATCGCCACCGCCGTTTTGAAGCGGCAATCGGTTCTCGCGCCGAATTATCCTGTCAATCGATAACGGGTCATTTGATCCCACCAATCGAAACGCGCCCGCCGCTTAATTAGCCTCGTATCGGGGGGCGACGAATAGAGGAGTAGGATAGCTGATAGCGGCTCGTGAAGTGCGCTTCCGCCGTTATCAAGCATTGTCTGTGGCCACTCGAGATGCCGCTACTCGACCGTGAAATGAGAGTACGTTGAAAGGAGAGAAAGATAGAGACAGAACGAGAGAGAAGGAGAGAGAAAGAAAGGGATGGATTCGCTTCGGTGATAATGTACGTAATTGATCGCGCGGAAAACAATTCGAAAGGTAATCGAACGATGGATGTTGAATGCCGGACGGCGGGCGCCAAAAATGAGCTTCCGAGTTACGGCGAAGGATTACTTGGGTTTTTATACTCGGCAAAGCAATTTAATTATCATTGGATTCATAACGTTTTAAGTTGAGAATTTAACACTCCCCCACGGACGTGGAGTTTACAGATTTCGCGTGCGCGTATACACGTAACTTGGTAGAAAATTTAATTAGAAAATGAAGTCTCCCAGCGGGCAGTAATTCAGTGTTAAAGTCACTCTGCCGAGTAATAATTCACCGTGGCATTCCGCGCGCGCGAGATCGCGGAAACGATCGACGAGTCGGTAATTTCCGCGGAAAAGGAGGATGTTTGCGGAGAGTTGTCACCTAGTAAGTCGCGCACGGAGCGAGTCACGCGCGCATGTAATGCACGTCGAGCCGCGGTAAAGTTTTTAACGGAATGCGCCGCCTCCACCACTCGGCTCTTCAATTTTTCCGCGCGCACGAACGCGCATACTTTACATCCTTCTGTTATATTCCACGTGAGACACGGGTCTGGTGTAAACATCGCGCGAGCGCGCGTGAAAGAGAGGGAAATACGCAATGGAATCCTGTGTGTATGCAATTTTACGGTGCATCCTCACCGCCACGACGACGTCGGCGGCGGCGGCGGCGGCGGCGGCGGCGGCGGCGGCAACAGCAGCCATCGCGAAGAGGAGACTACCGATAACGTATTCCCGGCGGACATGGTCGTTAAATCTCCTGAAATCCAGGTTTACTCGAGCCGACGCGAATTCCGCGCGGTCACTACTCACACATACGTGCGCACGTAGCGAACACGTGCGCGCACGCCATTCGCGTGCCAAGGGCTTACCGGAAGAGCTTTCGCGCGCGCACGCCGCAGCTCGGCATACGAGTGTAGTATCTCACGGTGGAAATCTAAATGAGATTCGATCCATCGAGGAAGCCGCGCGAGGAAGCGATTCCGCGTCGCATCGCGCGATTCGATCGGAGCGAAAAGTGAAACCGCTCCGTCGACTCCCCTCGATCGAGCGTGTGCGCGATATCTCGTCAACGTGAGGTAATTCGATTCCACGATAGGGTAATGACAAAGTTCCCCAGCCTTTCGGGGTTTTCGCACGTCTATTCTTCTTCTTCTTGGAGGGTATATTGTAACACACACACACACACACACACACACGCACACACACACTGTGATTTAATCAATCATATTCTTTTAGGCGAGTAAAAAACAACTTATTGACATTAATTAATTGGTTGATCAATCGTCTTTTTCAAGCTTGATAAATCGCGTGGAGATGTAAACAACGCTGTTTAATTAAGGATTCATGGGCGTTACTCCAACCTCGTTTTACTCGAGAGACAACGAAGAGACGTGTGAAGATGGAGACGAATTCAACGAAACAAATACCGCGAGGAAGATCATTTATCTGGAGCGATCAATGACTGTCTCGTTGTAGAACAATTATAGCGACGTACTTTAGAACATGTGAAAATAGCGCGAGAGAAATCTCTCGAAAATGAGATCTTCATCAGCGTGCGGAAAGTCATTCTTGGACGTCGCGAGGACGACGTCATTGCGAGCGACACGAAGAGAATCGCGGGAGAGGGAGAGAGAAAGACAGAGAGCGGTCGAACCGAAGCGCGATGAAGAGGACGAACAGAAGAGGAGAAAGAAGAAGATGAAGCGATGAGGAGGTGAGGCGGAGGTGGCGGGGAGGGAAACGGCATAGCCTGTAGGACGCCGAGCCGCCAAAGAGTCTGGCAACGAGAGCAAACGGGCGCCGTAGCGTCGCCCGGTATCCGAAGACGAGCGTGTGGGTGAGCACACGTACGCGCCCACTGGATAAGAACGCGGCCACGGGTTGAGTGTGTGTCTGTGCGCGCCGCGTAATGCGGGCCGATGCGTCGGTGAAACGACGCAGCCAAACATCTCAGCCACGAGGTCACGATGTCGCAAGATCATCCGCTGCCCTGCTATTTCTCGCCGCATCTCGCGCTGCTCGCCGCCACGTCGCGTCGCGTTGCGAGCTGATCGCGCCGAAATTTGCGACATTTCTCGCGTCTCGTAGCCGCTGCCTGCGTTTTCTCTTCTCAGCGAGATGCTCCCTGACGCATCTCGACGCACCGTCACGCACACTCTGCGCAGAACTCACCGCCCACCGAGCGTTTTCTCCTCTCTATTCCCTTTTTCAACATCGCAATTACATATTCTGCATTGGAAGTTTGAATATTCATATTTGAAAGTCAAAAGAATGTGTTCAGAGATAGATGGCAGCGTTATTAATGTTATTAGGGTCCAACGATTATGTAACTTTTTTCTAAAAGCGGGAACGTGAAGAGTGAAACGTGGCGACTTTTGCTGTAACTTCTCGAACGGTTAAAACGTGAAAATTTTCGTAATAAAGAAGACAATAAATAATCGATATACAGGCACTGGTGCCTTGCTGCATGCCCGAACGTGTACAAAATCGTGTGAAACCCGATTCGAGCGAGCGCGTGATTCGAGCGGGCGCGCGATTCGAGCTCTCGGACGCGCCATTTTGATACGCTTTGATACGCTCCGATCGGATTGGTCCCCAAACCGGCAAACAACAGACAGACGGACAGACAGACAGACACCGCTGTCGGGCGCGTGCATTCAAGTTTTGAGCAAATGTGTCATCGCATCCGTATCGCGCGGAAACTAGCGGAACGAATTCGGTGTCTCTCCCGCGCGCGTAAAGTCCGTGTAAGCGCGAGAGCGTAACGTAAGTACCTTGACCGATGGAATTCCCGACGAGCATATTTTGCTAAATAACATGATAACGCCGTGATAACGAGGCGCTTACGTTATGCTTAGTTAGCGAAACATACAAGCCGAGGGATTCAATAAGATTTAGCGCGCACGTTACACACTACATACCACATACTACTCGGAATCGCGCCCAACCCCCGACGCGGTGCTCACGTGGAGTTTCACGCGAAGTTTCACGCAAGGTCTCAGACGACTTTGTTACGAAAGACACGATCTCCCCTCCACACACACACACACACACACACACACACACACAGTTCTGTTTTATTACTATTTTTGATTTGGCGATACATCGTTCCCGCGCGTCGTCGTTGTCGTCGTCGTCGAGCGACGCGCTTCACGTTCGCTAAACGAGCGAAACGGCCCCGATTAATCCACGGGGGAGTCTTGACCGCGAGAGAAACGTCCCACGCCGCCGTTCCGACGCGCTTCGATCGTCGTGACGAACCGCGGAACTTGATATCGTCGCGAGCTGAAACCGTATATCGTCCGTGTCCGATACGGTCGGAGAAAGGGGGAGAAAGATAGAGAGAGAAAGAGAGAGAGAGAGAGAGAGAGAGAGAGAGAGGGAGAGAGAAGCGTCTCGCATCGTCGAGAACACGACGAACATCACCGGGTGTGTATAGACGGGTGCGTCAATGGTCGCGTGATTCTTCAGCGATCTCTCCCCTCTCCGGTGATCTTTTCCTTCCTTCACGGACA